CCCCCCAGCACGACCACACCCCAGCACGACCACCCCCCAGCACGACCACACCCCAGCACGACCACTCCCCAGCACGACCACACCGCCTTGTTGAGTGGTTGCCTGTCGTCGTGGAATGTTTCGTGGGGTGTCTCGTGGAATGTTTCGCGGGGTGTCTCCTGGAATGTTTCGTGAGGTGTCTCGCGGAATGTTTCGTGGGGTGTCTCGTGGGATGTTTCGTGAGGTGTCTCGTGGGATGTTTCGTGAGGTGTTGCCCCGTTGGGTATCGTGAAAACGTGCCCATGCTCCACATGTCTATATCCCTTTCCGGGTTCGTGGGTCCATCATGTTTTTGTTTTCCTCTCTCTCCATATATATATACATATATATATATATGTATGTATGTATGTATGTATGCGTCGGGCGTCGATGCGCCCCCTGAGCCGGTTCCTCCCCATCCTGCTGCCCCCGCCCTCGCCCTCATTCTTCCAGACCCTCCGTGCTGGCCTTCCACACTCTTGCGCCTCGTGAGGTGCTGCGTTTTCTTGCGCTTCTCAATAGCTTCAATGCATCACCTTCGACGCCTTCTGCAGAGGTCGGGAGGTTTGGAAGATGGAGGTGGAGGGTCCTGCCAAAGAGGCCGTGCCTGCGGACTCACTCTTGATCCGAAAGGGTCCAGCCTGCCGGCAAACCCCGCCTCCTCCCCTCCGCACCAGTTTTGGCCGAGTCGACGAAGCATCGAAGACAAGGTCCAGAGACAACAGCCAGTCACAGAGATATCTGCGCGCCAGATGGCCTTCCCTTGCAGCGCCCTGCCCTGCGCGATCCTCGCTGCTCTTGCGGCACAGGCATGGGGCACGGCTGTGACGGTGGCCACGTGGAACGTGGCCAGCATCGATTGGGCCACCGCCGAGCAGCTGAGCCAGCAGATCCTCGGCTTCAACGCCGACGTCGTCCTGACGCAGGAGGACGTCGAGTTCGAGCCGCAGCACAGCAGCAATGGCATCAGCCTGGAGGGCTACAGGAGGGCTGGCGCCTGCCGGGCGGAACCGCTGTGGGACACGATGAGTGCCTACGCCTTGGGCGGCCGCTATCTGCAGAACGCGGTGTACGTCCGCGAGAGCACCATCAGGGTGGTCCGCAGCTTCAGCCAGAGCCTCTCCGACACGTCGCCGAACCCGCGCTGCGCCGCTTACGTGGATTTCGTGCCCGCCGACGCGCCCTTTGGCGAAGCGGATTCCTACGTGGAGCCCTTCCGCGTGGCGAGCGTGCACCTCACGGGCGGCTTCTACGTGGACGGCAGCTGGCGGAACTTCACCGTCGAGAAGCCCAAGCAGGCCCGCAGCGTGCTCAGCTGGCAGCCCGACATCGCCGCGGGCGACCTGAACTCGTTCTCGGTCGCCGCGCAGGTCGCTGAGAGTCAGGGGTCGTACAGCCCGTTCGTGGAGGCACAGAGCGCCGGGGACGTCGACGAGTACATCGGCTTCCAGACCGGAGGCGTCGACGAGTTTCTGCGCGGGGGAATGTACAGGGTGCCCGCGGACGCCAGAGGAGGAAAAGGTACCGGTACCGCCGCGCTCGCCTCGCCTCCTCCCTCTCAGGCCTCCCGGGAGGCCTTCGTCGCCACGGCTGGAGTCGCGTCGAAGTTCTGGTCAGAGCGCACCCCGGGAGGGGTCAGTGGAGTGGCGGTATCGGTATCTCGTGGTTTCCCTAGGACGGCGCCACCTCAAGATGGGGAGGCACCGTTGATCACGTGTTCCTGCGCAACTCCGCGCGGGTCGGCTGGGCCGCGGGCCAGAGCAGCACCGTGGGGACCTTCAGCAGCTCCGACCACGCGGCCGTGGTGGCCACCGTCGAGCTGTCCTGGGGCGCCGCAGCACCGACGGGCGGCTCGACGCAGGAACTGCCCGAGGCGCGCATCGCGATGATCGTCTCCTGCGTGGCACTGTCGCTGATAGTGCTCGTCGTCGGCGCAGCCTTGTGGCACGACGTGGTCCGCCGCCGCGCCGCGAGCACGGAGCGTGAGCAGGGGCCAGTGGTCGGCCAGCGGGCGACTGACGGCGAGGTGGACATCGAGAAGTGAGTCGTGTGAGGAGGAGGAGGAGGAGGAGGAGGAGGAGGAGGAGGAGGAGGAGGAGGAGGAGGAGGATGAGGAAGAGCAGGAGCACCCGTTGCTGTGGTCATGGGCGGCGTCCCGGGGTCCAGGGCGGCATGGGCAGGGGAACAAAAGGTGACATAAACGTAAAAACTCGGAGGTCCGCGCGGATTTTTCGGGTCCGCGCTGGACCCCCTGCCCTGGCGCGCGGAGCGCTCCAGGGGCGGCGCCGGCGGCGCCGCCAGGGGGGTCAGCGCCGATCCGAGAAATCCGCGCGGACCTCCGAGTTTTTAGGTTTATGTCACTGTTTGTTCACCTCATGGGGCGGCGGAGCGAATTTTAGTGTTAGTATCCATTCGAATGGCCAAGCCGTTGGGTTGTGCCCCACGTGAGCACGCCTCTTGCGGTGACACCCCGCCTTCTGATTCTGATTCTGACTCTGCTGGGGCGGCTGGCGGGCCTCCTGGCCGGCGCGCCACGGGGCAGCAGTGGGCCGTTGGGCCACCGGCGGCTCACCGAGTCACCAGGCCGTCGGAGCTTCAAGAAGGAACAAAAACACACAGACACAATTCATCGTCGAGTGCCAGGAAAGTATGGGAAAATCATGGGGAAGTGGGGGGAGGGGGGGAAGACAAAGACCGAGAAGATATAGGAAAATATGGGGAATCCTTTGATTTGTGTCCGGGGGCGTGTCTGGAGCCTTCTCTCGGGCGTCGGAGGTCCTGAGAAACCCCCGTCGCGGTCTTGGGATTCAGCGGGGGGGGGGGAGGGGGGGGAGAAGGAGGGGGAGGAGGAGGAGGAGGAGGAGGAGGAGGAGGAGGAGGAGGAGGAGGAGGGAAGGTCAGGAGGAGGAGGAGGAGGAGGAGGAGATTGACTTTTGTGTCTCCCAGGGCCCCCTCCAGGAGCTGGCCGCTGCGCTGCGGGGCCCGCGCGCCGACCCCCGTCGGCGGCGGAGGCCGGGCCCCGCCCTCGCCGAGCCGCGGGGCGGCCAGCTCGACGTGCGGCGGGGGGGCAGGGCTCGGAGGGCGGAGAACGCGCGGCCCGGGCCCCACCACCGCCTCCCATCGAAGCCCCCCCTCCTCCGCCCCCTCCTCCACCTCCTATCTCCTCCTCCTCCTCCTCCTCCTCCTCTCCTCCTCCTCCTCCTCCTCCTCCCTCCTCCTCCACCTCCTCCTCCTCCTCCTCCTCCCCTCCTCCTCCTCCGCCCCCCTCCTCCTCCTCTTCTTCCTCCTCCTCCGGTGCCGAGACCAGGGGCACCCACTCACGGGTGGGAGCACGCGGGTTTAAAAACTCTTCCTCCTCCTCCTCCTCTTCGTCCTCCTCCTCCTCCTCCTCCGCCTCCTCCTCCTCCTCCTCCTCCTGCCAAGCGAGGTCAGAACGACGACGGCCCGCCTCCCACCGCCCCACCGGGACTCGATGGGTGGTGGGGTTCGGGTTCGGATGTCGCCACCTGCTGTCGATGAGCGGCCTCACGGGTGCTTGTCGGGATCTCTTGGGAGGCCTCTCGGAATCCTTTGGGGTGCAGCGTCGGGGTGTCTTGGGGCCTCTTTCGGGCCTCTTGGGGCCTCGTTTGGGTCTCGTGAGGCCCCGTGTGGCTCCCTGCCTGCGGGCGCGGACCCGGCGCAATCTACACGGGGTCGTGACGCTGGGAGTGCGGACCCAGTGGATCTATTCAGTTGAGCGTTCCCGGGGGGGGGGGGGGGCAAACGCCGCCGCGCCACTTTCTCTGAGCCTGGTCGCTTCTGCCGGTGAGTTCATACGTGACGGGAAAATGACCACAACCACTGCTTCTCTTCTGATGCTGCCTTCCAACCAGCAGAAGCAGAGCAGTGGTTGTGGTCATTTCGTTAAACTTGGCACCAGGCAGATGACCACAACCACTGCTTCTTTTTCGGCCGGCTGGAAGGCGGCGCCAACAAGAAGCAGTGGTTGTGGTCATTTTCTCGACCCGCAGTGCAATGGAGGCCCAGGCCAAGAAACACCCTGCTTGCCTCCAGGGTGCCCCGGGTGTCTTGGGTTTCGATGGTTCTGCTGTGCAAAGCGCGACGCTCCCACGCCCAAAGCCAATGAACGTCCTGGGGTCTCAGGGTTGGGTTTCTTGTGGAGGGTTTCTTGTGGACTGTGACCTCCACTGTATAGGCATCGCCCGCGACTTGGAGCTGATGAGGGTACAGTGCCGTTTTTTTTAACACATGCTCCGCGTGCGGATCATGTATAAAAATGCAGGGAACTAGTGCTACAAACAACGATGAGTTCGTGCATAAATTTATTCATAAATGAATCATGTATTAAAGATCCCATGTCTTTAAACATCCTATGTATTCGAAACTGCCCTGTATGGAGGACAACCTAGAACCAAGGCGGACGGGACCGGGGAGGACGGTGTGGTCCGAGGACGGGGGAGGCCCCGGACTCGAAAGCAGCTCGAAAGCATACCCATTGTTGTCCCAAGCGGCGGACGAAGCCACAGGAAAAAAAACATTGATCTGCAGGGCGAGAGCGAACCTCTTCCGCTGAAAGCTAAGCGGGACGCGCACAGCTTTAATTAGCAGAGTAAGGGCGAAAAAAGGCGGGGCCTCACGGCGGCCGGGAGTAAATCACAGGATGCAATTGGTGTGCAACATCTGCCTGAACAAATCACTTTTTACCCCTGAGAAGCCGCCAGGGTGGTGGGGATCGTCCAGGACGGCTTATACATATCACGGGGGCAGGGTCCGGGGGTCGGGGGCCGGAACCGCGACCACAAATGTGGGGCCCGGCGCGCCGGGAGCCCTGCCGGAGCGCCAGGGGCCGTCCAAGATCGCCCGAAGATGGTTTCGGAGCGGTCGAAAACGCGCTCCGATGGCTCCGGATGCCTTTCAAGACGACTCCCATGACGCCAAGAAGGCCCCCCAAGGCCCCGAAGACGCTCCAAGAGGCACCCCGAGAGAGCAATAAGCAAATTTCCGATGGGAAAACTGATATTTTTGGTGTGTTCGCCTTGTGGGTTTCCACTCAAGACGGCCCAAGAGGCACCCAAGACGGTCGAGGATGCGCCCAAGAGGGCCCCAAGACGGCCCACGAGGCGGCCAAGACGGCCCACGAGGCGCCCAAACCGCCCAAGAACGCCCCGAGTCGGCGCCCATAACGGGGACGAGGAACTGGAAATTTCCGCCTTTTGGCCCAAGAGACCCCCAGGAGACCCCAAGAGGCTCCAAGAAGCGCCCCAGAAGCCTCAAGATGCCCCCAAGAGACCAGAAAAAAACAACCAAAAAGGCCCCGAAGACGCCCCAAGAGGCACCCCAACAGAGCTCCAGATAAGTAAACATCGTTGATTTCCTTTCGGAGAACTGGTATTTTTGGCGTGTTCGCCTTTTGGGCTTCCACTGCTTCCAAGACGACCCAAGAGGCACCCAAGACGGTCGAGGATGCCCTCAGGAGGGCTCCAAGACGGCGCACGAGGGGGCCAAGACGGCCCACGAGACGCCTAAATCGCCCAAGAACGCCCCAAATCGGCGCCCAAGACGGGAACGAGGAACCGGAAATTTACATTTTTGGCCCCAGAGTCTCCCAGGAGACCCCAAGAAACTCCAAGAAGCGCCCAAGAAGCCCCAAGAGGTCGCCAGGAAACCTGCAAAAATACAAAAAGAGGCCCCGAACACGCCCTAAGGGGCACCCCGATAGAGCCCCAATCAGTACAAATCGTCGACTTCCTATGGGAAAACTGATATTTTTGGCGTGTTCGCCTTTTGGGCTTCCACTGCGTCCAACACGGCCCAAGAGGCAGGCACCCGAGCCTGTCGAGTATGCCCCCAAGAGGGCTCCAAGGCGGCGCACGAGGGGGCCAAGACGGCCCCCGAGGCGCCCAAATCGTCCAAGAACGCCCCGAGTCGGCGCCCAAGACGGGGACGAGGAACCGAAGATTCGAGGGTTTTGGCCCAAGAGGCCCCCAGGAGACCCCAAGAGACTCCCAAGAAGCGCCCAAGAAGCCTCAAGAGGACCCCAAGAGACCAGAAAAAAACACCAAAAGAGGCCCCGAAACAGTCCCCCAATGGGCCCCCCAAAACGGCCCACTAGAGAGCCCCAGGGCGCGCCCAAGAGTGTCGACCAGAGAGCTGGTCCGACTTTCCACACTCTACACAGGGTCCGTCCCCGGCGGTGCCTTTCACGGTATGCTCCACAGCTGCTCAGGGTAGCACTGCATGCCTTTCACGCAGCAGTATCCAGCAGTATCCAGCGAGCGTACAGTGCTGGCCGCTGCAACCCCGGCACTTTCTGCCCAGAGCAAGTGAGAGAAGATGCCCGCGGCAGAGCTATCATAGAGAAACAACATGGCGGGTGGACGGACGACGGACGTCGGACGACGGAAGAAGACGACGGGACCGCCCATGGGGGAGGGGACCTGGGGTGGCTCTGGGGTGGCCCATTTTTCCCAAACTCCCCCCGTCGCAACCCAATTTGTCCCCCCTTGGCTCAGGGATCCGCTTTGGGGTCTGTGGGTGATTTTTTCGGCCTGAAGAGGGTTCCGAGCTGGTTCAGGAGGACGCCCGCTGGCCGCCAAGATGGCCCCTTAGTGGTCCAAGACGCTCCAAGATGTTTCAAGGCGGCCCCCAGGGACCACAAGATGCCCCAGTGGAACTCCCAAAGGCCCTCCCAAATGACCCCAGAGAGCCACGAACGCAAAAGCCTTTCAGGTTTCTCCATATTCAGTAAATCTCACGCTCGTCTCCTTCGGATGGCTTCGGGAGAGCTTCACATGGCGCCGAGGCTCGAGACGGCTCCAAAACTTCGAAGAAGAGCCCAAGAGGGGCCCAAGCGGGCCCCAAGGCCTTCAAGGCAGCCTAAACAGGAAGATCCACATGAGACCCGTACACTCCAAGCCAGCCCATTTCATATTGAATATCTTCCCACGCCGGCCCTGAACAGCTCGAAACTCCCGCATAATCCCAAGCAAGAGGAGGCCGTCGTTAAGAACTAGAAACGAAAAGCGAGGACAACCGAGAGAGTCTGCAGGGTTAACGAGGAAGG